ATATATATATATATATATATATATATATATATGTATATATATATATTAAAATTGATATTGAGCACTTTATCCCATAAATATCGCACACCTTATGATTATATTTCTTCATATATATATATATATATATATATATATATATATATATATATATGAAGAAATATATATATATATATATATATAAAAGAAATATAGTCATAAGTTGTGCTATATTTATGGTTAAAATGCTCAATATCAATTATTAATATATATACATATCGTTACCTCCTACATATGTATATATTTTATACATACACACACATAAATATATATATATATATTATTTATACATTATATATATATATACTCACACACACACATATATATATTATTTATACATTATATATATATATATATATATATATATATTTATACATACACACACATATATATATTATTTATACATTATATATATACACACATATATATTATTTATACATTATATATATAATGTATAAATAAAATAAATAAATATATATATTTATTTATTATTTATACATTATACATACACATATATATAATTTATACATTATATATATAATGTATAAATAATAAATGAATATATATATATATATATTTATTTATTATTTATACATTATATACACACATATGTATATGTTATTTATACATTATGTATATATATATATATAATGTATAAATAATAAATAAATATATATATATATATATTCATTTATACATTACATGTATATATATGTGATGTACAAATAATATATATATTTATTATTTATAAATTATATATATATACACACCCACATATATATTATTAATACATTATATATATAATGTATAAATAATAAATAAATATATATATATTTATTATTTATACATTATACACATATATTAATTATTTATACATTATATATATATATATATATATATATATATATATATGTAACGTATAAATATATCTATTTATTATTTGTAAATTAAACACACACGCACACACACACACACACACACACACATACATATATATATATATATATATAGGCATTAGTTTTAGTCGATTACGCGTGTGATTCAAAATCGCATATATTTTAAATTTCTCATTCGAGAAAACTTAATGTACTCTCCGGAAGGATTCGAACCTGGATTGCTACTTTGCAAGAGAAATAACCGCCTGTTTCAGCGTACGTTTTTCCCCTTCAAAGTGTAAATACAACTGACTGTGCTGTTAGGCATTCCGTCGCTGAGCGAACTAAAGCAAGCCGACGGCTATGTCGTCTAATATTTGGAACAGTTCTTAGAATATTGGTTCAATAATTTCTTTCCTAACCCCATACCCGTTTCTCTTTATTTATTGTGGTTATTAAGTAATTAATGATGATAAATTAACGAGAAATTATTTTATATCTTAAAAGCTTCCGAAAGTCAAAGCTGGGGCTAAGAAGAACAGTTTTCTCGCAGACACCATAAAAATGAGACCGTCGTCTCATTCAATAAAACAAATATTTCAGAAGGAATCACTGAAATGCACAGCCGTAAGTTCATCGAACTGTTTAGATTTACATATTCGGTATTGATTACATTTTTTCTTAATGTCACTAAGCCCCTATCTCGTGCGTTGTTTCGTCGAAGCAAATTTTGAGTGTCTAAATAAATAGCCACAATATATATATATATATATATATATATATATATATATATATATTCTAAAAGCAAAATAAAAGCACAAAATATTTTTTCCAAATTTGCAAAGGGTAATACGATTTTGCAGTTCATGGAAAACATTTGCTAACTAATTTACAGTAATGCCTGAAATCACAGTTATTTTAGCTATACTTAAAACTAGGTACATTAAACTTTATAACATTTTTTACAGATTATTTCTATTGCAAAGACAAATAAAATTATAAAATTTTTAAAGTGCAGACGAACTTTATGGACACCCTGTATATATATATATATATATAGTGTAACAGCAAAATTGTACGATAATGTTATTAAACTTATCAGATGTTACGAAAAAAATTTACATAAAATAAATAGACAACACTTGTCTATATTATTTAATGAAACGTGTATATATATAAAACAGAAGATGTTGTGTCGGTGTGTGTATACTATTTATGCACATCCACATTTCTCGACCGATTTCGATGTCATTATATATACATGTTGCAAATTTCAATGTAAAGCATAACCCATGTTACGAGGTTTATGTAGAATGCTTGTTTTCCTGTGACATTGGATTCACACAAAAGAATCTTTGAAAAAATCGTTTTTTTTTTTTCGTACTACTTAAAATAAAACCTTTAATACCGTGGTTAACGAAAAACCACGAAAAACTGTTCAGAAAGCCTGTTTATAAGCCATAAATCGCTGATTTTTCATCCTTTGCTTTCCAAATTGTCATGCAAATTATATATGACACACAGATTGTTGTTCTTTGCTTTAGATTATTTCAGTTAAATCTGCGACGAACTAGGTCCGAAATCAGCTTTTGCCATTTAGCGTATATTTTCTTGATATGATTCGATCCTAAATTGTCATTCGAACAAACTTTGATGCAAAGATTGTTTGAGAAGGATCATTGAAGTTTTAACAGGGAAAATTTCCCAAAGAACCTATTATTAACTCCAGCTTTATAGTAAACATGCAAAGAAGGAGGCTGGGTTAATGCATTTGCACTTGCAATTGAATCAAGCTCTGATGTTTCATCCCTGTTTTTGTTTGATTGTTAGATTTGTGAACAATGCAATACTATTTGAAAGTTATTCCGGCCATAGGAAATTTACTAAATATCTAAAACATTGAAACAATTTAACCCCGAGCAACAACGACACAAGAAGTTTCTATCAATGTAATTCTTTTATTAAGAACAATCAAACACTTACAAAGGACATACCGTAAAAAGGATGAGTGTGAGGGGTAGCTTAGTATACAAACGGATGATGCATGCAAGCGGGGGCGCAGACAGACATTTCTAGGCAGGGGGCACAGGTATACAGGGGGTGCAGTTATACATTTGCAGCCATGCCCACGCGGGTAACGCCGGGCACCTCGGCTAGTATATATATATATATATATATATATATATACACACTGGGTGCGATGGTCGCCATATTATTCTAAGGACAGTGCAGAGGATTCGGAAAGAGTTGGACGATATATACAGTCAACATCATGGTGTTTGGACGATCACTAGTGATGGTAATGTTATGCCTCCATTCGTCTTCCCACGGGTCACTCAGACTCAACACGGAGGCATACTTCATGTACTTTGAGGAGGGTAGTGCTGCTGAAAGACGCTATGCCACACAAACAGGACGCTGCACCATGCCACACAAAAAGGACAACCCAATGATAGCTGTCAGACAATTTCTGCGACCACATCACCCCTGTTTACCTTACTTCCCAGAATGACACCCCCTTGATTATTATGAGTGGGGTGCAGTTGAAGAAGAGACCAACAAAACTCCTTTTAACAACAAAGGTGAACTGAAGCCAAGGATTATGGCATCATTCACCAACTTAAACAAGGAGACTGTCCAGAAGAGTTGCAGGAGATTCCGAAGTCGTCTGGAGGCTGTGGTTGATGCCAATGGCGATTTTATTGAATAAATTTACACTTTAGTATTTCAAAATATTTTTGTGCAATTTTGATAAATGTATCAGTTAAAATAAGTTGTCAATATTATTTTCATTTTTGCGTAATTTAGACGACAATTTATTCATCGCACCCTGTACACACACACACACACACACACACACATATATATATATATATATATAATAGACTCCATCGGTTTCGACGTATGAGGATTTGACAACTTAACCTATTGATTCAGTCATGAATTTTGTGCAGTAATCTTAAGTGACACTTATGACCCGCTAGTGATTTACAAAGGATGCCGCATATGGAGCAAGAGTAAGGATTGTGGGATGAGATCACTGTTAGATTGGCTGACCTTTTAGATCTTACTCCCGCTTCTTGAAGACGATTCGGACTAGCAGATTGAATATATATATGTATACATATATATATTGAAAGGATTTTTGATCCGACATTATTTCTTATTACTATAAACGTTGTATTTTTTAGTGATTACACGTGTTTGAGTCGTTACCCCTTTTTTATTTTATCAAACATTGAAATTAATAACAAATTGCCGAAATTGAGAAGGCCTACACTAGAAAATGTCTGTCCCCGGTAAGTATAGAATTATCTTCGCTCTGTTTATTGTTTTAAAAAGCGATTATTAGAATTTTAATTGAACCTAAACATATGATGAAAGTGAATTTATATATATTTTTTTTGTTCTTGAGAATTTACAACAAAAATAATAAGCACTATTTATTTATTAGGTTGTTTATTTACAAAAACAATTTGATATTTACAACATTCTAAAATCTAATCTAATTAAAACTAATGTAATGCAGTATTTGTCATTTACCAATTTATAAAGAAATAAATCTGAAAACAATTTTGTATTCATAAATTTATAAGCGTTTACTAAGTTATTAAAATATGGGAACCAGCTATAAGGAAATCATTATTATTTACCATTTTATAAAGTTCGAATCATTTACCAATCAGTCGTTGTTTTGCCAACCATTCCTATAAATAATATAGTAAATAGTGTAAATAATCTGATTCCTTTAGGAAACTAGCGATCAGCACTCTTTATATCTTCCTTTTTCTTTAATATTTGTAACGTGTGTATTAACATGATTTGTAACGTGTGTATTAACATGATTTTTCTTGAAAGAATCATTTGCTGTTTCCTGTTCCATGGTTTTAAGTTCATAATTTATCTTCTTGAAGAATAGTTGATAACCAACTGAAGAAAACTCAGTTTGCATTGTTATTTACTCCATAGATGGGGAGAGGAGAGGAGAGATTGCTTTATTTTACCGTTTCTCTTTTTTCGGTATGACACGTTTCATTCTGAAGACATTATCATGTCGGCCATTTCTTCTTTTGAATTTAGAATGTCGTTATGAACGTTCCCTTCCTTCAAGCAGAGGCAGCATTATACCCTCTTTCGAGAGAGCTCATCTTTAACCTGTCGTCAGCCTGCAATAAATCTTCAGACCGGGACAGTCACTGACTCTGCGGCACGCAATCGTGAAGCAGACGACATTCAAAAAGAGAATTCCAAGAAGAAGAAAGCTTTTGTCTCAAACAAAGCGACGACTGTCATGGCCTTCTTCCTTACTTAATCCCGTTTTTCGTGTTTTTTCCTTTTTTTGTTTATTGTGGTGG